ATCCAATGTAAGTCAATTACAGGCCCTTCTTTTAATTGTCAGTCAATCAGCCAAGACAGGAACATATTTTTCTTTCACATATTTTATACAGTATTTATTTCATTACTAACTAATGGGGCTTCTGCAGGTCAGAGATTCTAACCTTCTGCTTGGAGCAGGATCTCTTGGGTCATGCAACTGAAAAAAAAGTATTTCACTAGCTTCTAGCCTACTTAGTAGAGGAAAGAAAAACGTTACTCAGTAGAGGAAAGGAAAAAGTTTGGGATTACCTCTGAACTGTACTTTTAAAGACGAGTAGTGTTTTCAGAACAGGTGGTTTGGATCATATGTGGGGGAATCTACTTCTCTGTTCTTCTTCTGGCAGTAACTGGAAAATATGATTGTCTCCCTTGGTCTCCATAAGCCAGACATTTTCTCTAGATTGCAGAGATCTGCAAACTGCTTTGGGAGTATAGCATTCTTTGCATGTCTCTGTATTATTTCCAGTACTTGGGAGATCTTTAGTTTGCTGAATTGAGGTCAGCAATGATGTGTCGTGACAGAGGAAGCCTGGTAAGGCTAGTATGCCAATTTTCTGGGATAACTGTCCCATAAACCTGGCTGTGGTGCATTTTAATAAGATTTATTAGATTTCCCCTCATGAAAGACTTTTTCTTACATTACAGTACACAAAACTACCTAACTTCATCAGACTTGTACATCAGACTTCCCAGGCAGCTCTGTGACAGATCTCTTTAACTCACTCCAGCCCATGGAGTCATTATAAACTGGGTCATGCCTATGAGGGAGTGTCATGGTTTTAAACCAATAACTAAGAAAATTACTTATTTCTTGCTGTGAGAGATGGATTAGAACAAGAGCAAAACAGGCATAAAACTTAAAAGGAAAAAAAAGAAAGTTTATTGACAAACTACAATAATAAGAACACCAGAATAAACTTCCAGAAAAACCTTTTCATCCCCTATCTACTCACTATTCCCTTGTTCACATGACAACTGAGACAAAAACTTTGGAACTTTGATGGTTAAAACAGTCCCAATTCTTGCTACAGTCTTTTCACCAGTCTTTATAGAGAAACAGAAGTTTCTTCCTGTTAATTTATGGAGTTTCTCACAAGAAAACTATTTTTGTTATAGTTTTCTATTGCCCTAATGTTAGCTGCTCAGAGCTGCTATTATTAGAGTTCACTCCTCCCATTTTCACATCACTCTGAAGTGTGTATGGGCCATGAGTCTAGAGATAGCATTTTTAAGGATAAGTTATTCAAAGGCAAAAAAAGTCTTCTTCATCTGTTTCTGTGAGCTTCACTAGAAAACAGTTTTCTCATTGCCTCCCAAGGCTTCAAATCTCCCAGCACTTCACTATACCATAATTTCTCTACTTTTTACTCAAATTTACACTTTGAACACTTTATTCCTCTCTAGATACTGTATCATGAATTAAAGGAGTTCTTTTCAGAAAGAACTCCATGTCCATCTCCATAGTTTTAACAGAAAAATATTTCAGCTTAATTAAAGCATCTTCTTAATTCTCTACCTTTCCTGAAGCTTCTTTTCTTTCCTGTTACTGGTAGTTTATAAAGTCTCTTTTCATGTTGATCTCTCTCTCTCTCTCTAGATAAAAAGATTAATCCGCAAGTCTCATCTGGGTAATGAAAGAGTTAAAATCTTGCCCAGGCTTTTGTAGGTGGTTCGGGGATCTCTGCTGAACAGGAGCTGGAGCCATCTGCGATGGGAAGTTCCTCATGGCTGCTCTGGAGAGTGTAGTCGCTGTTCCAGCCCGCTGCAAAGTCCAGGGCCTCTCTCCTTCTTCACTCGGCAGTTTCTTGTGAATTTAATTACAGTAAAACCTGCAGCCGAGCCAAAGATCGGCTCGGCCCGGCCCGGGCCTGAGGAAAACCTTCCCCAGGCCCCCCCATCTCCCGGCCGGGAGCCACAGCAGGCCCGGCCCTGTCCCCACCCCCCGGCCGCATGGCCTGGGCAGGGACGGGAGGCCTGGAGCTCCACCACCCTTCACAGCCAAGAAACAAAGAGAGCCCAGAGAGCTCTGCTTTTACACTTTAAGGTAGGGTTCACAAGTTGATCCCACTTTTCAATGGCCTAAACTGCTGTCAATTCCCAGCAATGACCGATAATTGGTCAGGAGAAAAGACTCCAGGCAGTTCCCAGCAACTCCAACTCCCTTAAAGGTAAAGTAACTCCATGACAGGGAGAATAAAAGATAAGAGGAGATTACAAAAGCAAATTTGCTGTTGAACTCTTGCTTTAGTTGCTCCTTGTTGACATGAGTGCTGCTATATGTTCATTATGTAAACATCAATTATTTATCTTCCCTTGGCAGCATTTTGCTCTTCCTCCTGCTTTCAGGTGATTGAATGGAGTGGTGAAGGAGGGCACAGTGTGCACCAGCAGTCCCCAGCTTAGCTAGGGGAGCAGGAGTGAAGAGTGGATGTTCAGCTTTTATACATACCTTTTATGTTTTAACAGTGTAGATGGGATCACTTGCCTTGTTTACAGGGCTTGTCCCACATAGCTGGTTGGTCCATTTGTGTACCCTTTGCAGACTGCATGTGACATGGAGAAGATGAACCAAGCAAGAGCTGATGTCTCCAGTTGCTCCACTTTCTGTCTTTACACATTTCAAAAAGGGCTCCTCAGCAATGCAGGACTAGGCTGGTCTCTAGACTTTTGCTCACCCAGTACCAAGAACCTGGACGTATGGCCAGGTGCCTGTCCCCTGCCTGCCAATAAAACAAAAGTCAGTGAAGCTCTTTGTGCTCTATGTGGGCATTGATTCTGGAAGGCTACAGTTGTTGCTTCTGACAAACTGAATCAAATTAAAAACTGCTGGTGACTGTTCCAGCTCTTCAGTGAGTGAGGGGGGACAAAGTTTCCAAAAATAATGTAGAGAAATAATCCACAAAATTCGGGCAAAGCATTAAGGGCACAGAAAGTAGATCAAGGTTCGTTCACTAGTGATCGTCTTTGCAAAGTTACATCTTTCTTTTCTGCTTTAAGCTCAAAGTTTTAGACTTTTTCTCTTTGATACTGTCAACTACAAGTGCAATCAAACCTTTTAGCTATCTAGCTGGAAGCACTTACGTTTAGTGTAAAAGACATAGGCAATTTACAGCAAATAATAATGGAAATATACTATAAATGTTAGAGATTCTGAACAGGCAACATGTTGTAAAACTTTATGCATTTTATACCTATTACACATGCACAGCTCTCTTCAGATGAAATGACAAAGTTATTGATTACCTTGCCAGAAGAGAAGTTTGGTGTGACAGCTTACAAAAGTGTTGGGGAAGAGATTATTCCTGGCAAACCTTTGAGCATTTATCCAAGTGTTTTAAGTTTTGCCACCCAGAAAGGCTGAAACTTTTAACTGTATTCATAAAACTACATTAATACAGAATTTAAGGATGTTAATATATTTTTGTTTGGAGATGAAGGCTATTGCTTTTTCTGAAACATTATGTCAAATATATGAATATTTAGAATTTTGCATCTTTGTCCCAAATTCCTAACTAGTACAAGGACCAAAGAAGGTCTGTGGAAAGTCAGTCTCTCATGCCTGCAACATGTACACATGTTTTCTCTTGGAAGAAGGTTCAGCTCAGATTTGTTGCTCTACCTTCTGCTAAAGGTTTAAAGTGTTTTAACAAAATCTATCATCCAGTCCTTGGTGCTGAGTGTGATGGAAATCCCTTCCCTCTGCTAATGACGTGTGAAATTTGGAGCGCACAGGTCCATGTGATGCTCTTTATTGGCTGCATGGAAAGAGCAGACTGGAAAGATCCATTAATGTTGCTCTTCAAACACACTGTCCTTTGAGACAGATGGTTGGAATGTTAGGTATCTGACTAGAATTACGTGCAGATCTGAAGAATATGCTTTTATTATATTGCTTATTGTGTTTTGATATTTCTCTGTTTTCTGCTAAAATATCTGCTAAAATTATTTGTGTCAAGCAGGCCCAGGTGAGTGCCCTGGACAGCTCTGATTCTGGTGTCCCAGCTGTTCTGAGCTACACTTGCTCTTTGGGAACCCAGGTGTGCGCTGAACAGAAGCACAATGTGGAACTGAGTATATGGAAAAATTAATAAAGGAGACTATCCAAAGAAAACTAATTTCCCCAATTCCCTCTTCTCATTCCCCAGCAGACATTAGGAGCTGGTTGTTGCAGTATAAAGGTGTTTTCTAAAAAGAAAACTTTATTTGATGGGCTATTTAAGTAACATAACTCATTTCTATGCTATTCAGGTATCTAAATGTGTTTACCCTCTTTCTTGAAGGGCTTTGTTTTTTTGTTTGTGAAGACAATTACATGACTATCTCTGAATCCTTTTGCTTTCTAATGTACATAAATTCCCCTGTAGGTGATTTACTAATTAAAACAAAATTTGTAATCGATAATTTACTTGATCAAATCCCCTTTTTCACCAATTCACCATTAATAAATCCTTTGTTTTTCAAAATTATTCACCAGATGAGTAAGATGAATAATTCTCCACATGTTCTTTGGTCATAAACAGTTATAAGTGAATTCCATTGAAAATTAGAAGATTTAGTATTTTTGATTTAATGGACAAATGCCATAGTGTTTTGTTGCTGGTCTTAGACTTCATCTAGGTATGGGGTTACACTTCTATATGTCTTTGTTTAGATTTTACTAGAATTTTTAAGGGTACTGAGGAGAAGGAAAACTTCTGTGAGTCTACTGAATCTTTGAGCAACTAAGCAGTTAAGCGTAAAATGTCTCCAATAAGACAGACAAATGATAAAATACCTTTCTAGTAATAACTGAAGGTAGGAAATATTATGTGAAAGGGGCAAGAAGTGTTTCAAAGGACACTTGATAATAAAGGGTCTGCAAGTGTTACTGGTAAGTGATTTATTGATTTGTTCAGTGTAGCATGCGAGACTGTACTGATTTATACAGAGCATATACAAGAACCATGTCATTACTAACTGCAAACCAATCTTTAAAATTAGTTACTGTCCAATAGGTTTTGGAAAGATACACCTGTCCTGCTGCCACCCAGTCTGGAGCACAATGATTAGTTGAAGATGGAAGTTGATGTGAGTAGATCAAAGCTCAGTATATTAGGTCAAGCAATTTTAACACAGATTTATGAACCAAGATTCTGGTTCGTATTCTCTTAGGAAAGAAAAATGGAAGTACTCCATGAATTTTTCTTTTCAATATCTGTAACTTTCTTGCACTTCTCTAATGGCATTTTCCTTTCTCTCTCTCTCTCCGCCTTTTCTAGGTTATCCAAACTCTTTTTTTCCCTCTGCTCTTGGTGTGCCAGTACACTGGTGTTTTTTTCAGTCCCCAGGCATGTGTATTAATCTTCGTTTCAAGATGCAAGACCCACTTTTTGGTTCTTAAAGTTTTATTTTCAGACTGAATTGTCAGCCTAGATTAGCATTACTATAGCTTTATCTAGTTTTTCAATCAAATTCCATCTTATTGGTATTGAGTACATATAACAAGTTACCTGAGCATCTATCGCTTGCTAAGGATGGGAAATTGAGACCTCTGCAGAATTGATTCTCCAAGACATAAAGACCTTCAACTTCAAAAGAAAGTCTGTTGCCCTGGAAATTATTGCTTGGGCAAAGAAGTGCCTTTTGGCAGATTTCTGATCTTTAGAAGCAAAACTCCTATGACACAAAATGAAAGCTTGTGGCATATGTGTTTCTTAAAAGAAGACCAAGACCTGTGGTGTTTCATATTTCTCCTATATAAAAGCTTTTCCCTGTAAATACTTGATGATCTGAAAGTCCTTTGAACCCTTAGCACTCACCAAGAGCCTGGAGTGCACTGGAAAGCATGTGGCACTCTCAGGTGTCCACACCATGCTCTGAGGAGAAGCAGAGCTGGACTGTGGCTTCACATCAAGCTGTTCCATGAGCAGCAGCACAGCCAAGTGCAGGGAAGAGGCAGCAGTTTTGTTTATTGTTATTTGCATTTGCAAACAGTGTCTAGAAGCCTAGGCATGGAGTATGCAGGAAAGAAATACGCTCTGCTCTGCACTAACGCTGAACAGACAGATGAGACAAAAGTGGTTGCTAAAGGCATGGGAAAGAAGCAGAGTGGTGGCAGTAGATGGCATGCTAGTTCCTGGTATACAGCTCTCCAAGGCTGGCCACTCCCTAGGTGTATCAGGAAGGAAATCTTTGTGCAGAGTTGAGGGACTGTAAGTAACTTTGGAGATGTTCAAAGTATGTTGTTTCCTACAATGAAGGACACTGTGGTAGAGAAGATGAAGCTGCTTTTGTATTTTTGTAGGGAGTGGATGCTGGAGGTGGAAGTCACTGCCTGAGGATAAGTGACAGCCTGTTTCTCAGTGCAGAATGAGAGATGACAAGGCTGGGACAGCTTAGAAAGGGAAAGCTTAGAAAATGAAGATGCTTTTTGTTTGATGGAACATAAAAGGAGGACAAAATGATGCCAAAGATGACAGAGAGGACAGCTGATGTGGTCAAAGTGACAGAGTAGTAAAATTTTTTCAAAAATATTGCAAATGGATGTGAGCAGGGACAGAATTGCATTTTTCAAAGCCCAGGAAAAATACTCCATGTTGTTTTAATGAAGAGAAGAGGTGTTTGGAGCCCAGAAAGAGTTTTTTCCAGTGTGATCTGATAAGAAAAGCCATATCTGAATTTGTCATGTAGAGAGCACCTGCAGGATTTACACATAAGCTGGATTTGGGGACAGAGAAAAGGATGGGAAATAGAGGTTATCCCTGATTATGGATTGCAACAAGTGGTACTGTACTGTTGGCAATGACTGAGAAAAGAGGAAAAAGGATTTGAGCTGTATTGCTATGTTAAGCTAAAACTAATGAGTAGATTTCTCTGAAAAGATTTTAATTCAGACAGGATATATTGGAGCAGAGAGATACTTTTGTGTGTTGATAGGATAAAAATATAAATTGAATTTATGTTTTTAAATCAGGCCTGGGCTGAAAGTTGACAGTTCCTCTCTCATAGGAGAAGGAGGAAGAGGCAGCTGGGTTTCACTGGTGGAAAAATTGAGCTGGAAAATATGCCACAGTCCAGATCATTCGTGGCAGGGTGGTTTCATGTGGCTCACATGATTCGGAGAATTATGACTATGGAGCGGCTGTGGATACCTTTGTGCTTTTACAGTTGCAAAAGGTAGTTAGCCGGTCTGTTGCTGCCTTAGTGAATATAGATGCTGGCTGTAGAAGCAATTTTGAAGTCCTGTTTTATCCTTGAGGAGAGAAGGTGGTTCACGTGGCAGTATATTTTTCTCACTGTATCAAGTTTTCATCTAGCTGTTGAATATAATTTCTGAACCCAGTTTGTATGTCATTTTCTCTTTGGCTTTGTATATCTAATTTTGTGTCATAGACATTCTTTCTTTGTTTTAAAGCATATTAATGAGAAACAGGAGGGCAGAGGAAACCAAAATATTTTTAGTCTAGTGCCTTCAATTTAGTGTTCTGTGTGCACTTCACAGCTGCTAAGCTGTGCTGGAGCTCTTAACAAAGTGGGGTCTTTTTTTTGTTTGTTTTTAATACAGTGTGAATTCTTAGAAGTGCATACTATACACCCACTTGGTAAAATTCATGCTGTTTCTCTGTGGTGCTGGCTTGTGGGATGAAAAATTCCTATTGCTTCCACTGGAAGCACTCTCCTAGGCTGTATGAGATGGATCCAAGCCCACACCGGTGCAGGAGCTGATATCAGCCATGGCATTCAGCAGGGACTGAGAGTTAGAATGCCAGTGCAGGTGCCAGGATGGATTGCAGCAGGCACAGTCTCCTGGTGAACTGAGGGAAGGGGCTGCTGTGTAGGGCATGAACAGCAACAATCCAGCTGTGGCTGCTTGTGGTAACATAGGGTAGATGAGGGAGAGGCTGAAAGGTTGTTAATGAACTTTGTTATGACATAAGTTCGTATTTTTCTCACAGCTGACTTCAGTAAGACAATTTCTGGCTTGATGGATGGCCTGAATGCCAATGAGCCTGGGCTTTTTTAACTTTCAGAACCCCAGGTGTTAGAAAACCAAATTCTGGTCATTGATGCTGGCTGCACTCCAGCCCTACTTTATTCTTTGCTTTCTTTTTTGCTAGAACTAATATAAAGCCTGCTATTAAGCTACCTAAGGCTGGCATCACCATTGATCCTGAACTATCATTTGATTATCATTTTAGTTTCCTACAAACCCCATATTCTTTGTTCTCTGGGATACTGGAAAGATAAGACCATGTGGTGCTGTTAATTCAGTTCTCTGTTAATGGGCCACTGGAATGTGTGGGGCTTTTAACTTTTCATGTTAGAGCTCACCTGCAATTCTGCTCTTAGCATTCAAACTGTAACATACTATTACATTGCTTGGAAGCCATTCATGTTGCCTTACAACATGCTGGGATAATTCTAAGATGCCACTAGGTACACTGAAGTTCCCAGACTGGCTTATGCCTCAGCGAAAGCATTTCCATGTGTTACAAAAATGGATTTGCATTAAAGTTGCAGTTCAGATTTGGAGCTGGCTTCTGAAATGAGTCTCCCAACAATCCCCAGTTTCTTTCATTTGCTTCACAGAACAGCCTTGGAGAGCAAACCAACGACATAATCCTGTGATACAAGTGGACTGGGAGATGTGCTGCTGGAGCTAGGTGCTGCACATACTTTGTGCACTGGATCAGAGTAGGCAGTCCAAGCTGCCTCCCCCCTTTATCCCTGAATACACACAGCAGGATATTGTCCATCAAAACCAGATGTTTGCTTTAGCAATCCCCTCTGCTGTGCTGCATTACTTGTTACCTTGGACTATGTATGTATTAGATGGGATTCTGTGATACATGTGTGTTTTGGTGGGATTCATTGCCAAGAGAATTACTCTTGTAGGTTGTTTTTTGGGTTGTTTTTTTTTCCTGCAGTGAATGCAGATTTCATAGCATATTATCTTAGCTATGTGATGTTATTTAATGACAAATTGCCTTTATTAGTTTTGTACTGTCTTACTGGCAGTAGTTTGTCCCATCTCACAGTCAGCTGCACATAATTTGGCTGAGGTTTATTAATAGTTTCCTAGTTTATGCTTAGACTGTGCTAGATTCCTGTCAGAAAAGGTATCACCTTTGAAAGCATTAGAAGGTGAAAGCACATAATGAGCAAAGACTGCCTGCCATAGTAAATGCTGCTGGGTACTACAGTTCTGGTCCATGTACCTGTAGTACTGGAGCATTTGACACCTCTGAGGGAGAAACAGGAATAACCAATTTTAGGGCATGGAGAACAAGGAACAGTGTGAATGTATGACTTGCTCAGGCAAGAGGCAGTTAGATCAATGTAGGGAATTAAGCCTAAGCCTAAGATCAGCTCAGACTAAATGCCTGAATCACTAGATTGTAGTTTAATTTTTAATGGTTTCTCAGTGGGAATGAATGAGAAAAAAAATGGGGATGAAAACAAATAGAACTTGGTGTTTGTGCCCTTATGTCACTGTGTTTCAAGATTCTGCTATTGTCTGTGTTATCTTTCTTTGCCTATGCCTTAGCAATCTGCATAATATTTTAATAAGTAATTTTAAGGGCCTTTACCCTGCATTAGGCAGAATTAATATGCCGTGGCACCCACACTGCCTGCTTACTGTACGTCCATATGAGACACTTCTCTCTAGGGAGGAAGTTCTGTGTTGAACCAAACATTTCTTGAAGCACATTGACTGCTTTTTCTTAAATGTGAGTGATAATAAACAGCATTACCTTAATGTATGGCAAAACAACAGCAGCAGGATTTTGGGAACAATCCAGCCATACTGGAGTTACCAGAACTTCACTGTGTCTGTACACAATAGGTATAAAACTGACTACTTCCAGATTTCTTGTACTTGCTTTGATGTTTTATCATTCATGACTGAGATAATGTCATGTAACCAGTCAGTGCATTTGTTCTTGTTGTGCATAACATTCAGATTAATAGTACAAGTTCCTTACACAATTTTGCAGAGAAATAATTGTTTTTACCTTCAACTTCTAGTGTCAAGGAGCCACCTATCTATTTGGCATTAGTATTTGAATACTGATCAGTTAAAATGC